CACACACACACACGGGCACACACACACACACACACACACACACACACAGGCACAGGAGCACAAGCCTTTAAGAAGCTTTGTCTGTAATGTGCTTTTCGGGCTCCACTGGAAAAGCCATAGGTCAGCTGGAGAAGGAGACAGAGGGACAGAGGAGGCGAGATGGAGGGTGGGAAGGAGGAAGGGGGGGAGGGAGTCCTTGTTAACATGCTCTTTGTGTCCGCTCCCATCACCGTCTCATTGAAGCAAGGGGATTCCGGGAGGGTGGAAAAGGAAGAGAAAAAAGACAGCTGGGAGGAGGAGAAAGAGAAAGCTGCAAACTATGCAAAGCTTCATTTTTCAAAGATGTTTCAATCGAGACCTCGGCACCTGCCTTTCACTTCCCCTGCAGTTGATGGAAAGGCTTCGAGTGCAGCAGGAATGGGAACATGTTGAGGTAGAGCCGAGTGTGTTCATGGGGTAATGGGGTTTAGGGGAGAGGGTAGCGTCTGCAAGGTGGCTGCCCTGGAGAGAAGGAAGCTGGGGATGCTGGGGTGTTGTTCGAAGGAGGAGAATGAGGAGGGGCTGAGGGGGAGCAGAGGGGAGGGGGTGGGGGTCAGTGTGGTGGGCACGGTCGTAGTGAATGCGGGCCACTGCGCGCTGGCGGGAAGCCAAGCTGCTAAGCCCTGGCAGCTCGTTAGCCTCTGTGTTACTGACCTGATAGACCACAAGCTCTACTACCCCCACCTCCCTCCCTCCCTTCTTTCCTGTTCTCATGATCCACGCCAGCTGCAGTACTGCCCAGCCGCCTCAAGAGGCAGCGCAGATAAAAGCAGACAAGCAGAGAGGCGGTGTAGCAGCTGATTGAGCTTTGGATGGACAGCCATTGCATGTTGTCAGTGTGTGTGGCCCACATCTTTTTGACACAAGCAGATATTCCTTCTCCAGCATCTGCTTACAGGGCCCGTTTTGTTCCTCCTGTCACATGTGGGACGTCTTGCTCCGCCCCTCCAGATTCCTCTCCCAACATCTGCTGTTGTCCCTTAAACACAGTGTTTAGCGCTGCACTTCTGTGTTCTCCTGTGTTTAAATGTTATTTTCAGATCCTTTAAGCACTTTTCATCTAAGGGGATTCATCACTTCCCTCTGTTAATTTCACTGCTTCTCTTGGAAAAGTGTTTTTTTAAACCCTTTCTCACCCCGTCCTGTTTACATCCCTGAATGTTGTCAGCAGGCCTCTCCATCTTCTTCAGCCTGGCAGCGAGTTTGGTTTTTTAGATCTGAGCTTTTGAGGGCTTTTAAAATCCCAAAATTGTGTTCTTTAATAACTGGCCACCTCTCTCTGGAGTGCTGTTAGTGCTAATGCACGATAAGCCTCCGAATTTCCTGCGGCTTGCAAAGATGGCCGCTGCCGTGGCAGTCATCGTTCTTTCCCTTTCTCAGTCTTTCCCCTCTTCTCACCTCCCTTAACTGCCTCCTTCATGAGGCCCATCAGCACAGTTAGAGGTATTACAGTCACAATTACTCAAGTTAATTGACTTTGGGGATGTGAAATATCCCTCTAGAGCGTAGTGTTTGAGGTGATGAACAGGTGAATTGTGATCTTATTAAAGGGGATATGACTCATATCCTTCCTCAGAGGAAGGCTCTCAGTGTCTCTGTTGTTTTGGGGAACTGGCTGTTTTTCCGAGATAGGCTTAAGGCATATATGGCAACACAATTTCCCCAACACATCTTTTTTGTAGCAGGTGCTCGCAGCGACAGCTAATTCTAACCTTGTCCCTCTCTCTCTGCCCACTGTAGCTACATCTAACGGCACCATGGAGGGCATCGACAACCAGGAGGGGGGACTGTGCAAGACCAGGTCCATGAAGATAATCATGAAAGTGGGACAAAGTGAGTATTGTATTATTGAATTACGGTGGTGAGTGCCTGCGGGCGTGAGCGGGCAGCCACAATGCAGCGCTAGTACATTGAGAAGAATTGTGTGAGACTCTGAAAATGCCCTAATAAGGTCATAGGAGGCTGTGCAGCATACTGCTCCATCGTCTCCATGACACCTGGGGCTGCGAGGGGGCAGGAGATGTAATCTAGTGGAAACACACTCACACACTATTGCCTATGCTTGCATGCACATGTGCACTGGAAGCATCTGCTGCATACACCCTTTCAACTAGAAGGATTTCTACACATGCAAATCTAGTTTAGAGGCACACAAACACATAATTCTCATGTGTGTGACACCCACACACACACACACACACACACTGTCCCTGAGTGGGCATTCTACACACTACATGTGAAGCACACATGTAGTGTGCCCCACGCAATCACACCAGACACACCGGACTCTATTCTTAATTACAGCGATAATTATTCATATATCGGTTGCCCGGCTGCAACCCAGAGAAGCCATTTCCTGGGGTCGGCCCTCTCGTCAACACCAGCTCTAGCGCTATTGAGAGAAGGTCAGGGAATTAATCGAAGCTGCTGCACTTGGAGGAAGTAACAGCAAAGAACAGGTGCTGGAAATTGGCTCCAGTGTTAAGACTTGCTCACGAATCAGTGGCTTTATTAAACAAAATGTACTATTTAGTGTGGGTTTGGTACAGTTAAGCTTGAAGGTGACAGCAGATGCTCAGTGAAGTACTCCAGACAGACATTTTAGCAGCATTTAGAACTACATGGACCCATTGCAGAACCATAAATACAACCATTACCGACTCTTTATGGTGGATTACAGTCATGTCTGGGTCATGAAGAGCTGTTTGTACAGAAACACTTTGCTTCATGTGAACGTAGTCGAAGATCATTTTGCTGCTGGTTGCACTGTTGAAGCATTTAGAGGTTCAAGAATTTTTGATAGTTTTTCCATAGGAAATTCCCTCTTTGTGTTTTGCTGGTAGTCACATGTAGGTTTGTTGCTGAGACGAAACCCAGCACAACAGGGACAAAGAAACCTAATTGACACGGAGAACAATCTGAACCAGTCCCTTTACATGAGCATCAACAACATAGACATACCCTACACGAAAAAGTAATTCCCCATTAATTTTCATGCATCTTCTCCGCATTTTTCCAGATCCCTCTGACCCTATCTCACCCAAAGACATTCCCACCAGAGTACCCTACTCGCCCAAGCACTCAGATGGCAAGGAGACCTATAACCCCAACGATGTGCTGGAGAAACCAGGTGAGATCACCTACTTGCAGCTTAAATACCAGGAAATTGGTAATTGCGTGGAGGATTTATCGACACAGTTTGGCTTGTGGGCGGGAGATTGTTCGGTCAGCTAAGAGCAGATAACGCTAAGTAGGCGAATGTGTGTGTGTGTGTGTTTGCAAGAGTCACTGAGGTGTGCGTGTGAAAGTGAAGGAAAGAAAGATCAGCTATTCATCAGCCAGTAATTGAATGTTGCCCATAAAACTGATAGGCATCTCCGGCCTCTCAAGGACTTATAAGGTATCTCCACACTGGCCACATTCCAGCCTCAACCCGCCGCTTAAATGACATTTTCAGGAAAAGGATCTGATCGCTGTCTGCCATCTTTTTAACGACCTGCTCTCAGTACAGACTCGTTTCTGCACCAAATCACAACTGTGGCTACGTGCAGACTGCTCTTATCTCGGTTATTATATTGCAGTTAAAAATCTCTTAAGAATATCAGGCCGGCAATTTCCGCAGTGAGCTGTGCTTAGATAACAAGAAACAGGAAGGGCCCATGAACAAAAACAAGCTGACCTATAACAACAGTCCTCCGTTCCTTCCCTTCCGTGTCCTGGCTCATTGAGGACGCGGCCTCACCTGACTCTTTATGTTTTCACTCCCAAATCTGCCTTAACGTTGAGCATGCAGATTGGCCAGGCTGCCTGTTAGATCCATGATGGCACCTTTTATCTGCAGGCATCAGCATCTTGCTCTCTCCATGTTCCTGTCTCCTGCTCTTTTATGCCCCAGCCGTCCATCCCGGCAGCTATCAGGAGCATATGGGCGCCAGAGTGCTGTGGGCAGAGCGTCTGAGGCAGCATGATCCCCTTGTAAAACAACGGAAGGTTCCTTGCTTTGGGCTGCCTGCCATCCTGTATCCACTCCCCCTACCACAGCAGAGACAGCCTCAGGTCCTCAGGAGAACAGCGGCAGACAGGGACACACAGGAAACAACCCCCACCCCCTTTAGGTGTTGGATGTTAACCAGAATGCCCATCACTGGGATTCAGAGCCCAGCTTGACTTTCATAATTGATGCCTAACGATGACATGAAATCCTTCTGTCGTATTTGCTTCCCTTTGGGGCTGTTAGTTAGAAACCGAAGTTACTTTTTATGTCTTTCAAGATGCAATTTATTTAAGTGCCATTTGCCTGGATCTACCCCAGCCATTGCATCTCCTATCAGACTGCTTGCCCTATAGTTTCAAGGTTGGAGTCTTCACCGGCGGAATTTGAATAGCCACCGATCGAATGTGACCTTTATACAAAAGCCCTCTATAGGCAGGCTTCACGCTCAGCCGCTGTGCTGCTGGCCTGTTCCAGACGCCTTTACTGTGACATGATGAAAAGATTGTGAAGAACGAAAGGGAAAGGCAGCGAAAGACGAAAACACGGCTTCCTTTTCTTTCCTTTAAAGGCGTCAATAAGAATCTTAACTGAAGTGTTTTTAGGATCCTCGAGCAGCATCTGAGAACTCGTTCCTCTACACTCTACTGGTGTCAGAATTCTGCACCAGAATCACATTTCTGTAACTTATGGATATGGGTATCATGGCCACTTCACAGAGCAATTGGCCAGAGGTTCTCTCTCTTGACACAATGACTTTGTGTGCACAACCGTCGTGGAAAGATTGGCCGGGTGTGTATGTTGTTATCCCCATTTGGATGATTAGCGCTCCACACCTAGCCCTGTAATGCATGCGATACAAAGCAGTTTGTTTTAAACACACCCAGACCCTCAATTTTCTTTTTTGCCGCTGTTTGAACGTGTTTATATATAGAATATATGATTTTAGCCATGATTTTAGCGTCACGTTTGCCTCCCTCTGTCTCCCAGGTGTAGCGCCCAGAGAAAGCAGCGACAATGACAACAGTGGAAAGTCCTCCAGCATCATCGGCTCCGAGGTGGCCATCTTCGTTGGCATCGCTTCAGGCAGCGTCATTTTCATCATCATCATCATCATGCTGGTCCTGCTGCTGCTCAAGTACCGGCGGCGGCACCGCAAGCACTCGCCGCAGCACGCAGCCACGCTGTCTCTGAGTACGCTGGCCACGCCCAAACGGAGCGGAGGCGGCGGGAACAATAACGGCTCGGAGCCCAGCGACATCATCATCCCGCTCAGGACTGCTGACAGCGTCTTCTGCCCCCACTACGAGAAGGTCAGCGGCGACTACGGCCACCCGGTCTACATAGTTCAGGAGATGCCGCCTCAGAGCCCGGCCAACATCTATTACAAGGTCTGAGGTGGAACTTTTGAAAGCAAGAGACAAACTGGAACAATCCCGGGCAGAGCGGGTTTTTAGATTTGGCTGGCGCCAATGGCACGCCCGCAATCACTCTCGCTCTTTCTCTCTTTCTCTCTTTGTCGACTCCTCCTCCTCCTCCTCGTCTCTGATGTTTTGTCACAACTTCTTTCTTTATCAAAGCTTTGCTGATACCTTGTCGCTCTGGTTTGGTCGGTGCGGACGGGATGGGTGGAGGGCCGGAGAGAAAGCTACCGCTGCCGCTCTTTGGAAATAGACAGGACGATCTCTTCTTCCCCCGATGCTGCTCCCTGTTTTGTTTTTGAGGGAACTGAGTGTTGTGGGATCAGAGAGTTAGACGGATGCACAGCTTGTTTTTCTTTGTCTGGGATAGGACGGATGGACGGATGTATGAACGCGAAGGTTTGCTGGCAAGAGAGGATTGGAAGGAATTTGTGGCTTCACCATAAGAGAGACTATTGCTTGGAAAAAGAAAAATGAGGAGATGTAAAGGAGAACATGGGCTGACCATGAACTCACAAAGTGGCTGCCCTCCCTTGATACTCACTAGCCAGAGAGACTCTGTGGATTCACCAGTTGGACGAGGAGGACGGAGAGAGGTTCTCACACCGCTCCTCTCTGGGACTTTCCTGACTGACTCATGGAGATCACCATTCACCCTGCCACCCACATGCTCACCATCACATATACACACATTCACCCACACGCACAGACACACTGTCTCACCAGTCAATGTGAACTGTTTGGGTTTAAGTGTGGATTGCACCAATCCTCCCAGATATGTTTTCAGCAAATCACTTCTTTCAGATGATATTTGAAGGTCTCAAGTTAAGAAAAATAGTTTTTTTGTACTTTCAACATTTACTGATCTTGTTTCTGGTCGTATCTGGTTTTCATATCCTGGTGCAGTTCAAATACAGATAGAGGTTTTCTTTTCCTTTAGTGACAAGTTAAATCGTATGTGACGTTCAAACACAAGTTACCCAACAGTGGCTAGGAGTGGCGAGAGCATGAGCAAGGATTTTACTTCAATTTGCGCACTCTTGCCAGGGAACAAGGCATGTGTCAGGACTGCCCAGGAGGCTCCTGGGAAGAGTGGAGGACTTTCATATACAGAGAGCAGCACTTTTAACCCTTTTTTGGTACCTCCACTCTTGGCAGCAGTCAGAGAGAGACACAGTGATAGCTTGAGATGGGAGAGCAGCTGTATCCCATCACATTTAGCAGAATGGGCTCGCCTCAACTCCTCTACAACCTGGGCTTTTCACACGGGAAAGTGTTAGGGGCAATAAGAAATCCAATTCGCCTTACTGCCATTTTTCGCATCAGGTGAGGAAGAAGCCCGAGATCTAGTTGAGGTTAGCGTAGCTGGCTGAGACAGCTCTAGGTACTGTAATGTTTACCCCTGGGGGTCCAATGATGACTAAGGGTGCCCTCAGGGCCCAGAATCAGCATGGCCGGTGCTCTCCTATTGTTAAAAAAAAAAGCACAGGGACATCTTCTTACATTGTCACTGTTTCTTAATAGCCATTAGCATTTCCATATTGTGATTATTTGATTTACTTCTCTCTTTTTTTACATAATAGGACATTACAAAGGTGAAAAATGAAATAAAACGCAGAATTTATTTATGATAAACACATAGAGCACAGGTGTTGTCAGGCCGCATGGAGAGGAAGAAGAAGAAGGATTGTTAATATATTATGGTAGAAGTGCACATTATGCAATCCAGGATTTGATTAATTCATATCTCCCATATTTTCACGAGCTCTCGTCCACAGACACAGGGCCTGGGAAAGAGGACCAGGGGAGGGCAGCCTGGGCCCCGGCCCTGGGGGGGAGGAGACTTATCTGTCCCAAAATAGCTCACATTGGTGTACACAAGGGCAGAGTAGTTATGTCTCCCACACTCACTCAGTGTAGCATTTCCCAAAGGATAATTCTCACGAACACCCAGTGCCCCCGACTCTCCTCATACACACCTCTCATGTTCTCTTGTGCATGTGTGTGTGTGTGTGTGTGTGTGTGTGTGTGTGTGTTGAACAAGTCCATATTTCAGTGACTTCACATCCATTAATATTTTTGGCTTAGCATCATAATCATAACTTTAGCTGTTCCCAGAGCATGCATCAGCCCATCGTCATCATTTGTTCATGAAGAACATCAAAATTTCACCGAAAAGCCAAGCCTTGTATGATCTGAGGTTTGTGCCTCTAAGAGGCTACAAAATCTGCAAATATGCAATTCTTATTTATTTTTTTAATCGATTCTGAGAAAAAACAAACCACCTATGGAAAGTGTTCTTAACCACTGAAAGATGTAACAACAAACAAGTGACACAAAACTAGCAAAGTACGTCACACAAGCCTGCTGTTAGTTTTCCTTTCCTGCATTATTTGTAGTATTATTTGAACCTTTTCTGTTTTAACTATGTGCCGTAGTACAAAGGTAAACTGTGAAAAATGAAACCATTAAAAAGCATATATATCACACCTGAACAGGTATTTAAGAAAAGATGAAAAGAAGACACACACACACACACACACACAAAAACAAAGAAATGGCTGTTTAGTTGCTCTGTTTGCGGCAGAATATGACAATCTTATTAGTTTATTTGAATCTGACGTCCTTTTCTTAGCTGCCACTCGACTAACGCTCTCCCAACATTGACCGGGTTTGAGTCGACCTGTGATGAAATGTTGTAGCGATGCTGTGAGAGTCTTAGCCCGAAGGCAAGGAGAAGCACCTCAGGCTACTGTAAAATGCCTTGCTCGTATGGTCAGCCCTTGGTCACTTGACTCAGTAATTTTGCACCGTACTTCTGTAGGTAAGAAACTGTAAATACATTAATGTTTGTATTGTATATGGATCCTGGGTTGTTACAATAGCCTTATTCACCTTTTTAGGAAAGTAAATGGAGAAAAAAGTACAGAAAAATGGAATACATGTCAGTAAAACAGAGCATACTACTTTTTTGGTAAATAGCTTATGTAAATATTGACCAGAACCCAATAAAAACATTTTTTTATAAACTCTTAAAGTAAGATGTTTTGTATAAAATTTGAATTTTTTGCTATGTATTTTAGCTAGCGCTCGATGGAAAGCCCGTGTCCTCCCCACTCCCTCCCCTTTTGCACTGTTTCCATGGTAATTTGGTTTTTAAAAAAATGAGAGAAAAGTTGCCAAACCGACTGCTGCATATTTGTGCCATAAGTGTGAACCATAAATATTTATTGAATTAGTTTCTTTTTCTTTCCTTTCTGTTCCGTTTATGATTTAACCTCAGTCCAGTTTGTGAGTAACACAGTATTATTATATTTGCATTGTCTGTTCGTCCGCCCTGGTTCCTTTAGTCGCGTCGTGCTCACCGGGTGCTCGTAGCCCTGTTCTCCCGTTCCTTGCAGTGTGAGATGGCCAGGCTGGGAAAAAATTGTTTAAACATTCAACAATTTAAAATAAGTTCAAAGTGAGGATAAATGACACACATTCCACCAGTCTGTTACAAACTGAAAATGTTTTTCAATAAAATGTTTTTCCTATGGACGCGCTGTCTGCCTGTGTTGCTTTGTTGCTTTCATACCGCATGAATAAATAATGTCTATTTCTTATTGTTTCACACAACTTGACAGTAAAGGAGTTGAAATGACACTTTCATTTACTTATTCATCTCAGTGTAGAGTAACTCCAGAGGACACGCTTCATACAATCCACTGCTTCAGTCTCCCTGTGGCCATGCTGTCATTTACATGATATTTACAGAAAATATTCCTCACATTTGCATTGAACATTTTATTTTTATAAGAACTAAAATAAGAAACCAGATTTTTAATTTTCTAGTCAAGAAGATATACCACATGGTCAAACGTAGACGGACACCCACATATGATTTCATCCCAAAGCGGGAGCAATGTTACTCCGTAGCTGTGCCTTGCTCAAGGACACATCGACATGCAACTAGTGGAGCTGGGGATCGAACAGCCAATCCTCTGATTGAAGGACAACCCTGCTCTCCACTTAGCCATGGTCGCCAGGCCTGCCCCTGGTGTGTTTTCCTCAACTGGAGTGTGTTTCACTGGTGTTTCTGACCATACGTAGCCGAGACTTGGGTGTGTGCTGCTACTCTGTCATGACAGGTGTATTGCTGAGGAAGGAAGAGCAAAGGGAGCGCAGTATTGAGTGTAAACTTGTTTGTTTGAGCAGAAATCTGCATCAGAAACACCACAGGCCAAGCATTCAGTCCGTACTGAACAGACATGTTTTGAACGGCCGCTGCATTAGTGGATGAATTGAAGCAAAACAGCTGCACCATTGGGGGTCGTAGTGAAGCAGGTATGGGGCGCCCTCATAGCCAAAGGTTTACAGTGTTGACTTCTAACTGCAAGGTCCCCTTTCAGGTCTGCCTCAGAGTCTTTGCATGTTATTCTCCATTTCCTGTCATGCAGAGACAAATTTCCCCGTTAACAGGATAAATATAGTATAATAAATAAACCCAATGACATCATCATCAAAATATGATGTTTTCACAGGCTGATTAGTACTCCCCATGTTGAGTAAATTTAATTATACGAAAAAATCGTCCCTTCTAAGATTTTTTGGATTGAAACTAAGTGCCCAAAGGGAAACCACATCAGTGATGGCTACTCTCTGAAACAGAACCAGCACAGGGCCAAACTGTCACTAAGCCGATGAGTCAGCCAACATATCCAGGCAACTAGACTGTATAACCAGCAATGCTGCCGGTGAGTCAGAAAGACAACCTGCCAAAATATAGCCAGGCAGAGACACAGCCATTACAGGCCAGACATTCCATCCACTATAGCTGTTAGTGCCAGTGAGCCAGCCACCAAATCAGCTCTTCTAGCCCATCAGCTCGCCACCATTACTCTGTTCAGCCAAAGAGTCTGCAGGCCAGGAAGTCAGCAGGCAACAGGCAAGATTTGGGCTGTGACAAGCATCCAGCTAGCGAGCATTCTTCACCAAGTCTAGATCCGGTCTTCCTTTCAGCATCAGCACCAGATCAACACTGAGTCTGTGAACCATTGAACTTCAGATTAAACAAGATTGTGACAAGGTTGGAGGTATCAGAAGAGGTTCCTTAAACTGTGGCTACAAAGTCTTCTTTGGTTTATAACTCTGCCCGTTGGTCACGCCACTGCTGATGTGGCTGTAATTAGCGTTGGATGATTAGGACGGGAGCAGTGTACTTTCAACCCTGTTTTCTTGATTAAACTGGTCATAATTTCTGGAAAGAGACATTACTGTTGAGTTTTACAAATGTATATTTGTGGCGCTTTGAGCACCACAAGCCGAGTGCCATACATAGAGAAGGCAGATATCTCCAAACTAGTAAACTCACACTAAAATAATCCAGATTGATATACAGATGAGAGGAAAAAGGGATTTTGGGATGAACTGTTTGCTGCCTCCTGGGTGAAAGTCCTAAGAATTGTGATGCTCTTTACGCTTCTTGACTGCTCTGAGCATCTACTGATGTGGGTAGGTTTATATTGGAGTTACTTGAGAGCCCGGCGTATTTCTTACAGAGACAAGCAGTTAGTTTCAAGCACACCCTGGCCTTAAATAGTAGAATGACATTTAGATAAATATTGAAATGCATGTAAATATCTGCAAGATAAATATGAAGCCACAGCCAGCACCTGGTTAGCTTAGCTTAGCACAAAGACTAGAAGCAGCTGAAGCAGCTAGCATAGCAACTAGCATAACTCTGTCCAAGGTAAAACAAATGTGCCTGATTGTCATGAAACACCCACATTATGATGTGTCTGTTTAATTCATACACTTTTTGTACTTATTAATTAACTGCTTCTCTGTTTCAGTATTTGTGCTAAGCTAAGCTACCGGGGCTAGCGTGGCTCACTGGCTAGAGAAGGTGGGCGGTTGGATCCTTGGTTGCTACGTGTCTTCTGTCCAAGTGTACCTGAGCAAGAACCCCTAACTGCCCCCCAGGTGCCTGCAGCCCACTGCTCCCTGTATATACGAGGGAAGGGTCACACCTCCCCACTGCGGGACTATTAATACTTTCATCTTTTAACTGTTTGTTGGCTAAAGTTTCATATGGCTTTCTCATCTTAATCTTGGCAAGCAATCAAATGAGCATTTCCCAAAATATTTAAGTATAGCTCAGTTGTTAGTCCTGAGAGACGCATTATGGCTAAAACCATGCAGTTAAACATTCTTAATGGAGAGCAAAACCGCAGAGTTGGAAAGCACTCAGCATCTTTTTTCTTCTTTTTCATTATTATCTAATACAGCGCTCTATTCTTTGCCACATCACCAGTATTAGAGATATTAAAGCCACTGGCTATATATTCATCACTTCTAACCACATTGTCTTCACAACCCTCTGCTGCAGCTGAAGATGAAAATATCTCCACAACACTGTATCTCAGATCTTCACCGTTTATTAGGAAAGAAAACTGCCTGAGAAGCCAAGATGAAAAAAATAAGAAAACAAAAAGAGAAAACAAATTGCGAGGCTCCCATCACTCGCTCTCTCATGGTGGTCCGTCATTTCCTCGCGTCTCGCTCACACACTTTGATGAGAAAGAGGAAAAGGACTTTGTGATGTTTTTCCTATTTAACGTTTCCGTTTTATCTCCCTCGCTTTCATGCCTTGGACGGCAGAGTGCTGTTGAGAGGCGCCGAGGCGTTGCGGGTGTTTAATGTTTTTTTTTTCCGTTTTGAGGAAGCTGGAGGATTTATCATCGGGGAGCAGTCAGGTTTTAGGCCCTTAACCTCTCTCCACTTGTCTATAATTTAACACTGTGCTGAACTAGAGGGCCAGAGTCTTAAATGCAGGAGATTCCAGTGTTGACGTTGATTATGTTTAGGAAGACACCTGCTGGGACTTTGGTTGGAGTTGCTTGAGTATGAAATCTTTCTGGAG